TCTTCCCCCTCAACTCTTAATCTCATTTCAACATTCTGCTTCTCAGTTTCTTTCCACAAAATGTGCTTATTAACGGTGGCCTCCACACTGGGGTTGGACACAGGCTGAAAACGTGGCTGCCTCCTGCTTTGATTTGAGAAGTACCCCAAGGTATGCCTACCCCGATCTTCTCTTCACCAGGCCTGAGAAGTAACACTGGGTCTAGAAGGCTCATGGTGGGAGTCACTCACTGGGGATAAAGCAATGTGTAGAGGTGATGAGAGCGTGGGCTTTGGAGTCAGACTGACCTGCATTTACATCCCAGATTCTTCACCTGCTGGAAGGTGGCTCTGGGCAAATCACTTCCCTCTGGGAGCTTCCTGGGAGAATGATATCAACCTCGTAGGAAATAGTCAGATAAAGCCCTTGGTGCATGGTAAACCCTCAGCACGTGCAGTTAGCTCATCTTATGTCAGTTTTGTGATTTCTCCAGGAGGGCTCTGTTAAATGCAAGAGGGGTGTTTGGGGGTGAGGCACATCAGTGGTACCACAGAATGGCAGAACTAGAAGGGACCTTTAGGTTGGATTAGGCAGTTTTGGGAAAGCAGAGAGATGGGCCCCGAAGGCATAAAACCTAGAGATGAGTTTAACTATGCCTGGGTTGGGGTGCCAAGCCCAGGGTACCTCCTTAGGAGAGCAGATCTGGGATAGTGCCACCATGAGGGACAACAAGAAGATTTAATCCAAGAGAAAGGAGACAGCACAATGTGGGAAGAGCTGGAGAAGAGTCTAGTGAACAAGCTAGAGATGTTCCCATAGAATGTAGAACAGGGGTCCATCAACTACAGCCCCCATGACAAATGCAGCCCATCACCTCTTTTTGTAAATAAAGCTTTATTGAAACACAGCCATGCCATTTACTCAGGTATTGTCTACTGCTGCTTTTGTGCTACAAAGGCAGGGTTGTGGAGTTGTGTTGAGTAGTTGCAACAGGGCAGTATGTCTTGCAAACGTTACAATATTTATGCTCTGGCTCCTTAGAGAAAAAGTTTGCTGAAGCCTGGTTTAGAGAACTTCATTCACATAGACTGCAGTGCTTAGGAACATGAGCACTGGAGTCGGTCAGACCCGACTGGGATATGATGGCGTCACCTAGAACTGGGCAGTGTGTAGCCTGTTCGACTGTAAACAGCAGCCCTGCCTGACAAGGATTTCCTGCAAGTTTCTGGGTGTTCAGCTTAGGGAAGAAAGCAGCGTCTGTGAAATGTCAGCACCTCGCTGGGGATGATAGTTCCTGCTGAAAGTCTACAGCATGAGGTTTTGAAGGATCTGAGCAGGCGGGGAGGTGAGTCTAAATTTAGACTTTCCAAAGCCGATTTGTAAACCAGAGCCTCAGGAATCCCAGAAAGGGATAGCTGGCACACGCCATCTCATCTCTGGTTTGTCTCCACATGTTAAAAGACTGGATGTGTGAGAATAATTAATTGGCCTCAAATAAGCTGTTGCTGGAGAATCAGTGAGAAATCAGGCGAGAGCTGAAGCTCCATTGTTCGGGTCCCGGGGGTAGCAATTTCTATTACTGTGTTTTATTACAATGCTTGACATGGAATCATGGGGGCCTGGGCTGCCTTTGCCAGAGTTACATACATTCATGCATTTCTCTTGCTCTATGTCATTCAAGCACAGCTGAATAGGTGACCTTTCCATCTCACACAGTGAATACCATCACCCTGGGTTTGAGACCACACCTGTGATTCAGAGCAGCTCTGAGCCACCCACTCCAAATGGAGAATGGCCAGGCTTTGCCCTGAGAAGCTGCATCACTCTGAGACCTGCCATATCCACTCCACTGCCCAGGTGGGCACACCCAGACGCCAGTCTGCCCCTCTTCAGGGCCGATGGGCCCACGCCCCTCGGTGTATCATGCAAGAAATGAACCACTAATCTGAGACTTCATAGACAATAGATGTTTTGTAATCAGTCCACCTATGGAGAAAGGGAAAGGGCTTACGATAGAAATTACAGAGGAATTGGAGAAAGAAACTTAGCAAATGGAGAGGTTTTAGAAGAGATGAGTAACAGTGAACTTAGGTGGGAATAGAGAAATGGTCAGACGAGGGCTGCCTGGGTAGAGAGTTGAAGTTCTGAGGGAGGCAGCCTCTAAGCAGAAGATGACACTGCGAGGGCTGAAGTTCAGAAATGACTTTGTCTGAGTGGTTGGGGCTTTGTCGTAAGAAGAGCTCTGTTGAGCAACTTGCATTACAGCAGCAAGCAAAGGAGGGATGGCTGACCATCTAGGAAATGTCGGCATCAGAATTTTGTAGATGTAATAAAGGGTACTTGGTCCTTCCGATCCACTGTTATTTTCTATGAACTTTGCACCCTGGACATGGGAAGCTTAAAATCTAGTTTGGTGATGGACATGTATAAAAAGTTAAATGACAGCACAGGTTAGAATATGGTAAATGTGTGGGCCGGCCCGGTGGCGCACTGGAGAGTGCGCCGCTTGGGAGCGCGGCAGCGCTCCCGCCGAGGGTTCGGATCCCATGTGGAGACCGGTTCACGCTCACTGGCTGAGCGCGGTGTGGGCGCAACACCAAGGGTTGCGATCCCGTTACCGGTCAGTAAAAAAGACAAAAAGGAAAAAAAAAAAAGAATATGGTAAATGTCCAATACAGTATACACACGAACACCACAGGAGTTAGAAAAGGGAGATGTCACTGGGGACTGGGATGGACACTTCATACAAGAAGCAAGACTTTGCCTGGATTCTGAATGATGGGCAGGATTTCAACCATGGGGGAGGAGGCAGGAGAGCATTTCAAGACAAGCAAAGAAGTGAGGCAGGAATGAAAAGAGTGTATTTAGAGGCCCGTGAGGAAGGCAGAGTGGCTAGAATCGAGCCCTCCCAAGGTGACATGGTACCTGGCCACTAATGCTGACAGCGTGTTGGGAAGACTGAGAAAGAGACACACACACAGCGGAGACAACCCCTCCCACATCTGAGAGGAAAAGCAAAGAGTTTTAAAGATAAATAAAGCAGCTCTTAATTATTCACAGATTATCTGCTTTGCAGCTGGTCTCCAACAAATCCTGCTTGTAGCTCGCTTGTGAGGTCATCCCCTCGCTACTTAGGTGCTCACTCCTGTCTCTGTTCACAACCCAGCAGAAGCTGAAGGACAAGAAGCTTCAGCATCTCCCCTCAGAAAGCAAAATATGCCATCCCTCTCTTTGCTGTGCCCTTGGGAATTAGACCAGTCATATGTGTAGAAAGTGAGAGATGTTCCAGTGTGGTTGCTGTTACCTGACTTGGGCATCAGAGGTGGGATGGAAAGGGGCACTACAGTGGCTCTTTAGTTCCCCGGAGTTAGATATCCAGGTGGACTTTACTGGCACAGGCCACAGACTGTGGCTCAGTGAGTGGTCCCAGCACTGTCTCTAAGTGGCTAGGTGTCCTCAGAGTGAATGGTATTCATTTATCCATTCTTCAAATGCATGTTGACCCTGGCTATCCAGGAAGCACTGAGCTGGTGCTCTTCAAGCGTTACGGTCCTCACCTGCAAGGTGATAACTGGAACCAGAATCAATGTCTCTCAGTGGAAGAGCTCTTGGCATTTGTGGGTGGAGGGGTAGATGTCAATTTTTTACTAATGGGGATGTTCAACAGTTTGGTTAGAAAATCTGGCCCTGCCCGTTAAAGGCCAGTAGTGACTCCTAGTCAAATGAGCCAAGGGGGGTTAGTACTGTCCCCAATTAAGGACCATGAGACTTGTTTGCTAAGATTGCTTCTCAGTCTGAAACTCTACATCTATGATTGTTTGGCTACCGGACACAATAAAAATATGCACACTAGAATTGCTGAAGATTTGACAAATTATCAGAATAGTAGGTACATCTTATTCAAATGTCAGAGAATGTTTAACAACAGCAATAGCAGGTAATATCTGTTGAGCAACTATGTTCTAGGCCCTTGACAAATTCTTTCCTTAGAAGTCTTTAAAGGAGATCTGATTGTTTACTATTTCAGATCATCTGTGCCCTCTAATTTGCCCCCTTAATTTCAGAGCATTGAGTTGACTGTTGTTTTGTTTCATTTACTGTTTGCAGAGTCGTGCAGAGTTCAGATAGGAAAGTACCCTAACAGGGGACTCTGCAGTGTGATGATAATTAAGAAGCAATCTGCCCAGATTCACTCCTTTGTGCTGGATTCAGTGTACTTTCTCTGTACGCCCATGGACTTTATGAACTTAGAAAACCTGCCAGTCTCTTAAGAAGCTATGACATTGCCTTTATGTCAGAGGTCTGAATTTACATTGCTAGTTTTGCAGTTTCTTTCTCCCCATTTAGGTCCTATGCCTGTAATTTGAGTCAACAGGCACCAGGGGGTGACATGCCAGTCCTGGGATAGCCCTGAGAAATCTGTGCCCTGGTTTCTGGTTAGAGTCCCTTTTTTATGGGTGGGAATATGATTTCCTTATAATTTGGTATGAGTACTTCTGCAACCTATGTGGAAAGCAAGAGATACAAATGTCATTAAATCTCAGTTTATGGCAAATTCTCTCTTAAAATATTCAAAGACTTTTGCAAAAGAATGAAGGAGCCCAAGTGGAAAAACAAGATTATCTATTCTTTATTTTCTGTCTGCAACTAGTTACTTTCTACTCTCACCCTTCCTAGCTAGTGCTGATGTGAGTGTTTGGAGAGCATAACAAATTAATTTTGCAAAGGTCAGAAGGGATAACTCCCACCCACAATTTGCACGTGTTAACCCTGGGGGAGCAGGCATTGACATAAAAGGCACACCATCTGATGGTCTTATCAAATCAATCCGTCTTCTTTCTCTTTCAGGAGAGTGCTGCACACAGCAGGAGGGGTGGCTGGGCAGTGCAGAGCCCGGAATCCCCTGAGCAAGCAGTTTCAGCTGGCTGGACAGATCAAATAACACTTGGGCTGGTTAACAATAGACGCAAGTGGGAAGGTGTTGGAAGCCGGAGTGTGGAAATTTACCCAACGTTGTTTCTTTAACAGGGAAGGAGACTTGGTCTGAAAGATGCCTCATTCCTGTGGCCTCTCTGGGTGCAGTGGAATACAGACAGCCTCTGTCGAGGTGGCATGGATGAGTGGGTGAGAGAGGATGCAGCCCACACTGGAAGGCTCTGGAGGATCCAGCCTGGCAGCTGAGCTCCCTCTGCATTTGAGACCTCAGGTGTAACTTGGTATAGACCTCATGAGAGGTGCTTAGGTTTCTCCAGCTTTTTTCACCAATGCTCACCAGACTGGTTTGCATTTTGGAGTTTAAGGGGAACTAGCAGAAAGGGGAGATGACAGAAGTAGAAAGAAGTCTCTAGAAGCCTCCCGAATCCATTCACAGGATCCCTTCGTACTGCTTGGAACACAGAAAGAGGCTGTGATACAACTGAGCTTTGGATCATCATCTTAGGTAAAGGAACACAGCTCAGCCAACAGCTCCCACATTTCAGCTAGAAAGATCCTCTTCTAACACAGGATTCAAAGGGACGAGTTTCTCCATCTTTTATTTTGAGGTCCATTATGATAGAAAACTTTCAACTCCTATAATAATAATACTGGTTTTTCTTTCCAAGATGCTAGATTCGAAAGACACATGAGCCATTCTAAGCTTCTAGGAGGGCTCAGGAGACATAGGAGCCTGTGGACAACCCTCTTGAAGCAGGGTCAGAAAACAGCCTGAGGCTCCACCTAGCGCAACTCAGCAAGCGTGGACATATGGTGTTCTTGTCTCCAGAGAGCTGGTGGCAGTGACCTCACCAGGAGAAAAAGCATCCCTCAGCTGTGGGACTTGACAGAATGAGGTGTGCTGGGGAAGCCTCTCGCTGCGACTTGGACCTTCCTGACTGCCTCTTCCTCACACGGGCAGCCCCAGACCACTGAGCCAACAATGGCTGAGAAGGGCGACCGCATCGCCAGCGTCTACGGGTATGACCTCGGTGGGCGCTTTGTTGACTTCCAACCCCTGGGCTTCGGTGTCAATGGGCTGGTGCTGTCGGCTGTGGACAGCCAGTCCTGCCGGAAGGTGGCCGTGAAGAAGATCGCCCTGAGTGATGCCCGCAGCATGAAGCATGCGCTCCGGGAGATCAAGATCATCCGGCGGCTGGACCATGACAACATCGTGAAGGTGTATGAGGTGCTGGGGCCCAAGGGCACTGACCTGCAGGGTGAGCTGTTCAAGTTCAGCGTGGCCTACATCGTCCAGGAGTACATGGAGACCGACCTGGCGCGCCTGCTGGAGCAGGGCAGGCTGACAGAGGAGCACGCCAAGCTGTTCATGTACCAGCTGCTCCGTGGGCTCAAGTACATCCACTCAGCCAACGTGCTGCACAGGGACCTGAAGCCTGCCAACATCTTCATCAGCACAGAGGACCTCGTGCTCAAGATTGGGGACTTTGGGTTGGCAAGGATTGTCGATCAGCACTATTCGCACAAGGTATGTCTGGCTGTTACTATCGAATCCCCAATAATGCTGCAGAGTTTCAGGGGTTATTCCCAGCTCCGTGGTAATCTGGGGACTGTGGCCAGTATTTAGGAGAGGCTTGAGGGTGCAAGATAGGTCACTGGCCTGAAAATTCATTGTTGTAGGGGGTTGGGGAGATCTAGTTCTTACTCTAGGCTCTGCCACATGGCCGTGACTCCAGGCTGTGCAGCAGAGAACTGGACTGGACGGTCTCTAAAATGTCTTGACGGTGAATTTGCCTCAAGCATCCTTTTGTCTCTGCTGTCCACCTAACCATCTCCCTAATGTCTGCTCGGGCTTCCCCCAAGTCTCCCCCTAGGAGCCTTATGCCCTGGTTCATCTCTCCTCCTCCTCCCATCAAAGCTCACCCATGCTGTGTCCCTTTCTTTTAGTTGGTGGACAGGGGGCATGAATGGCCAATCTAATCAACTAATCCTCTCTGTACATTATCCAGCTAATGACTCAGCTCTCTGGGGTCCCATGATGCCTGGCCTCTTGGTGTGATACAAAAGCCACGAGTGTCAGTGTATTATTGAGATCCTCCACCGTAGTAGGGTAAATGTTCCGCCAGGGGCAGGGATGAGAGCTGATCCAGCCACACTGGTGGAGACAAAGGTCACACTGACTTTTGTTCTCGAGGCCCCAGACCTCCTCTTACCTGATCCACCACTCTCTTCAGGAGCTGGGAGTTCTCTGACATTCTGTTCCTTCCCCTGCCCTTGGTTCCTGCCACTTTAGGGTGCCTCTGAGCCCCTCAGCTAGAGCATATCACCAGGCACCCCTCAACAGAGCTGGGGAGGTAGGGGGAGGGGGCAGCCTCCTGCCAAAACCTTTGTGCCATGAAATTTTTTATTGGAATAAAACATCCCCGAGGCATCATAAACTGTTATCAGCCAAGGAGTGGGGGCAGGTCAGAGAAGAGAGATGGTTCTGACCTTGATCATGCTCTGGCTTTCTCCCTGAGGTCCCATTCCTCTCTCTCCCTTGTCTGCCTGCACAGAAGGGCACCAGTCTGCCTGGTGCACCTGCAGAGGGAGGCTGTCGAGGGGCAGAGGAGGCAGGGCTCCCTATCCCACTCTCACTGGCTGGGCTCCAGCTCAGATTTCAGACCCCAAATCAGCCTAGCTGGCTCCGGCTCCTTGGTGCCACAAATTACTTAGCTGTCTTAACCACGAGCTTGCCCTCTGCCCGCCTCCTGCAGCCAGGCCATCTGTCAAAACTGACAGCCGACTCTGTAGGCAGGAATGTCCGTGCCCTTCTCTGTCCTCCTAGTGCCCTGAGCTGTTTCTTCCTTCTCTTTCTGCCAAGGAGCAATGACTCCAAACAATCAAACTAATCAATTCTTATTTGGTAAAAGAACCAGAGAATCCACAACACTTGTATCTGGGATACACAAAAACCACCTTGTGAACAGGAATAAACCAGTGCACTTGGGAATCATGATGAAAGGGTCTGAGTAAGTGACCTGCTGCAGGGAAAATGCTTAGAACAGCATGCAGGAGGCGCTCAGTAAAGTCGGGGAAGATGGTTAGTTGCAGTGAAGACTGGCTGTGGCAGTGGTTCTCTGGGGCAGCGTGGTGTGAGGAAGCAACACTAGGAGGAGTCAGGGGTCTGGGCTCCCTTCCGATGGTGCTAGCTTGGATGTAGATGTCACGCACGGTCTGAGAACCTCAGTTTCCCCATCTTTAACAGAGATAATAATCTGCCCTGTCTGCCCCTCTGGCTCATGGTTAAGAATCAAAATGAGCCATGAACGTAGAATTCCTTGGAAAACTGTAAGGGCTACATCCATTCATTTAATGGGTGCTGGCTGAGCACACACCAAGCCCAGGCCCAGGGCTGGGGCCGGGGAGAGGCCGAGGCTCATGCCACCCATCCATAAGGGCTGTGTGCAGTATCGTGGTCCTGTCACCTGGGGCTGGGAAGCCACTTCCCCAGACACGACTTTCATTCTCCCGACACAGAGGAATTAGATGTTCTGACTTACTTTTGTTGGGCTGTCTTCAGGAAAATTAGCAGTGGGAGGTTAAAAAATAATTGCAGCTAGTTAGGCGCCCAGTAGGTGCCCACGTCATCCCTCACCCGTGGCAGGCAGGCGCCACCCGCCCCCACCCCGCTACCTCCCTCACACACCGTCTGCTTTTAGCTTCCTGCCCTCTCTTCCCCAGTGATGACGAAAAGGCTTTATATTTGGTGCTTTTATTTATCTGATGTGCATTTAAATCAGTTCTCATTTAATCCCTCATAATGCTGTGAAGCACTTAGGGCAGATGGTCCTTTTTAAAATGGAGAGAAATGTCTTTCCCAAGCTTCTATGGCTGATGGTGGCAGAAGGGCTCTTCTAGGACTGGGAACCTCTCACGTCCTGATGAGGGTCTTTCCACATGCCATCTCCTTCATGAGGTCTTTTTGGATTCCGGGTTGGAATTAATCTTTCCTTCCTCTGAATTCCCATGTCAGTTTTTCCCCATCCCACAACCTGTAGCTTCTAACACTGATCGTTCTCCACTTTTTCTTATGGGTACTCATGTCTGTGTCGTGGTCTCTCCTAGGCTGAGTCCCTTAACTCCTAGAGGGCCATCTCTTCTTTATATTGCCCATGGAGTCTGATCACTGTGCCTGAGATGTGGCCCTCCATTGATTGTGTTGACCGTGTCAACTGGATGGAAGAATCGTCATCAACCAGCACATTGCATATAGGAAGCTATTAGGTTCATTGATTTGTGTGGTTAGAAGGGTCGACTAAGAAAAAGAGCATATCGTTCTTGCAGACAGTGGATTGGTCACTGGCAGATGTGGGCATCTGCTCTGTCTAGTGTGCTTGGAGGTGGCTGTGAACAAGCAAAGGGCTCTAAACTTTGCTACCCCTCCTAAAGTTTTATGGACCCTGACTCCGTTTGAAGAAGACTGCGCTCACCCGAGTTGCAGCTAGTGCCTTTGTGTAGTACAAAAAGGTGCTGCTCCTTTTGCCAGGCGGACATAGCCCAGTGCCAGTGACAGGCTTAGTCATCCAACCAGGGGCTGGATTCAGCCTCTCAGCTAAGCACCACGCCCACAGCAACGTGCAGCAGCCTGGTCCTCACGCTCCCCATCGTCCTCATGGGTGGACGGTACATCCCTTTCACTTCCACATACCCCCGTCTGGAACAGGGCCTGACATGGGGCAGATGCCATTGGGTTTGCTGGAGGAGATGCCAAAGGAAATGGCCTTCTCTTCTCAATGAGCAACTGGCCTCACTGGGGCTCCAGGTCACAGTCAGGGAGCGTTCTGGGTATATGTCCCTCTGCCACACCACCTCTAGGGTCCTTGGTCTTTGTGAGGGCCAGAGGGCAACGACAGGCTCCTGTAGCTCAGTCAGGGAGGTGGCAGTGGGGGCGATGGGGGATGTTCTGATGGTTCTCTCTCAAGAGAGGGAGCCTGGGAAACACCTGTGCGATTACTCACCGCGCTAATTGCACAACCTTGGGCAAATCCTTTCCTTACCTAGCTGGTTCCTAGAGTAAGAGATCTGTAAAAAGACCTCACAATCATCTTGTCCATCCCCTTCATTTCACAGATGATAAAACTGAAGGGGGCTGAGCATGTGTATTGAGTCCATGTCCACTGTTTTTTCTGAACCTCACTTCTCAATTGTCTTATCTACCAAGTGTGGATAGTCATTCCTGTTTTGCTTATTTCATAGGATTCTTGTTAGAGTCAAATGGAAGTGTGGATGTCAAAGTGCTTTCAGATGTACAAGGGCTAAATCACTAACAGAACTGTTTGCCCAAATAGATGCCATGGCAGTACCAGGCAGACACCCAGATGTCAGTGTTCCCTCTACTGAGGTATGGACCCAACTCCTACATAATGGCCAAGGGGTGAGTCGTGAGGCCCACCTGAAGGTGGCTTCCCAGCCTCTGGTCCTGTTGCAAACCCCTTTCTGCCTGCTTCCCTGGCAGGCCCACTGATTAGTTTCCTGTTGTTTGTGCCAAGAAGAGGCAGCTGAAGGATTGGAGCATGTTTTCCTTTGAATTTATCCTATTAGGAAGTAGATGATGTCAAAAGAAAAAAAAAATGTTGTGTAAGATTCACTGAGCCCTGTGTGCAGAGGGCCCAAGCAGCACACCCACAGCCTGGTTAGTTGTGTGAATGCTGCCCTTCAGGAAGGGCCACTGTGGCCTGGGGAAAGAACCACTTTCATCCTGCCATGGGGTCCTCACTGGGACTGCTGGGGGACTCCAGCAGACCTGCCTTTTGTGGGGAGCGGTAGGCAGAAAATACCCAGGATAGAAAAGCAAAGGAGGGGGCCCATCTGGATTTGGGTAACCAAAGGCTCTAGTGTTTTGGTGGATCATTCGAGCAGATCTAAGTTTTCTGCTAGGCTGGCCTGTCTCGAAGCCCTAACCCACATCTACTTAACAGCCCTGTCTTCGTATCTCGTTCACAATCAGAACGCGTTCGTGCTTGGCCTCCATATCTCATCAGGATTCCTTAACAATCAGCCAGCACAGTGGTTCTCAAAGTGTGGTCCCAGACCAGCAGCAGAAGCTTCACCTGGGAACTCATTAGAGATGCAAATTCTCAGGTCCCATCTCAGAACTACTGAATCAGAAACTCTGAGGGTGGGGCCCAGCCATCTGTGTTTTCACAAGTCTCCTGGTGATTCTGATGCTCCTGAACTTTTAAGAACCACTGATCTGAAGAAATAGAATAGCTTATCTATCAACAGACAGCTGATACTCTTGCTGATGTATTTGCTGATGTTGGGAGATGTGGTTCTCAAACTTCAGCACAACGAAGATGACTAACAACGCCTCCCAGATAATACAGGTGTGGTTGAAGCAGGTACCTTAACTCGAATGGGTAGCTGATGGTGGGGATACCAGGCACTGTGACAGGGAATCATGAAGACTGTTTTAGTCAAGATGACTTTGTAGGGCCTTAATCACATCACCTTGGAAAACGCCTATTCCACCATCATATATTTGGC